GTTAGCATCACTACTGGGACTAAGACCTGCTGGGTCAGCATCACTACAGGGATTAAGACCTGCTGGGTTAGCATGTGAACTGTCTATATTATGAAGTTAAATATCGTTGAAAACAGTTTACTTTTTTCTCTTCTTCCTCTTCAGAGGCTTTCTTGGACCCAGCGGTGGGGACCCTCTGGGATCCATGGTCACCGTTGAGGTCCTTGACCTCTGACACCGGCGGCTTTGAGGCCACAGAGGTAAAGTCCAGATACTTCTTCCTGGTGACTTCCTTCTTGTCTACCTCTAAAACAAAAGCAAATCAATATTATCAAGAACAGAAAAGTCCATTTATAAATAGTTTGCTCCAGGTCCAGTTCTGGTCCTACCTGGGTGGTCTGGGTTCACATGTGTGTTCTTTCCCAGTAAAGTCCCCAAAGCCCTCTTGATCCGCCTGATAGTGATCTGCAGGATGCGTTGTTCTTCTTCTGGATCCAGCAGACAAACAGTGCTGAACGAGCTCAGCAGCAAGGTCAGGAACAGATTCAGGACCTGAAACCAGACCAGGAACAGAATCAGGACCTGAAACTCCAAAGTCCCGGAACAGTTTAAGGACCTACAACAAGGCGAACAAACAAAATCAGGACCTGCAACAAGACCAAGAACAAAGTAAGACATAGATTCAGGACCTAAGGCAACGCCAGGAACAGATTCAGATCCTGCATCGAGGTTAGCAACAGACTGGGGATCTGGATTCTGGACCTAAAACAAGGCCAGGAACTGATTCAACACCTGAAACAAGTCTGGGAACAAAGTTAGGAACAAAATAAAGAGACTCAAGAACAAAGGGTGGAGACGCATTCAGGCACAAATACAGGACCTGCAATAAGGCCAGGAATGAGATTCAGGACCTGTACCTGTAACACTGTGTACTCAGCCTAAACCTACAGTGAACTGAGATCTTTCATGATATTTGGGCCGATCTTCTAGAAAGACCAAAACCCGGAACCTTTGACCTCAGACATGGATCTGTTCGAGCTACAGCTGACCTGCTGGACCGGAGGATTAGTGAGATACAGGATCCAGGCTCAGGTCCAAATAGGCCAACCTGCCGAGACTCACCAGCAGGTTTCCGATGACGAGGAACATCGAGAAGAAGATCAGACACGTGGTCTTATCCGAGACCTCCATGCAGTCCCAGGTGATCTCAATCCACTCTCCAAACAGGACCCTGGTGACGACGAGGAACGAGTGGAAGAAGTCCGTAAACTGCCAACGAGGAAGAAGGCAGTCTGCTGAGATGCGACAGACGTGGTCTTTGTAGTCCTGCTGGAACAGCTGCATGCCGACCACGCTGAAGATGAAGACCATGATGAGCAGAAGGAGGGTCGGGTTCCTCAGAGCCCTCAACGAGGTCCCGATGATCTTTATCAACATGTGGAAGGACGGCCACCACCTGGCCAGCCTGAACACTCTCATCTGTGCAGCAGAACAGTCATATTATTTATATTGTGACATTTAAAGCACTTAATAAAAGTATTTGTTCATTTTGATGTGGTGATGATGATGATGTCACACTGACCACTAATAACCAGCGAAGACTGTCATAGACAGACAGCTCCAGCAGGCTGATGAAGACGATGATGCTGTCAAAGACGTTCCAGCTCACCTGTAACGATGGCAACAGACACGTTACCATCTGTCAGTCATCAACACTGAGCTGGCGATAAACAGGAAGTCTGACCTGGAAGTATCCGTACGGGTCCATGGCCACGACTCTGAGGAACATCTCAGCTATGAAGATCATTGTGAAGACCTGCGAGAGGTCAGGGGTCAGAGGTCAGGGGTGAGAGGTCAACGTGTTTGGCTCTATCAGTCTTCATCATGGTGTAAAGTCAGCCCCTAATATAATGGTAGGGGAAACACTGACATATATACGTATATACATACATGTCATGTTTTATAAATGCTGATAAGAGAATCAGTGTAACTTGTAACTTGTTTCATTTCCACTTTAACTGACCAGCTGTGCTTCAGTCAGCGTCCTGTCGAAGCGCTCCGTCATTGGATAATGCTCCAAACACATGAAGACGATGTTGACGATGAGGCAGATGACGACCCCGAGGTCGAAGAACGGGCTTGTGATGAAGATGTAGAGCCGCTGTTTGAGCCGCCGCCAGCAGCCACAACAGTTCCATTTCAGGAGGAAGTTGGCGAAGACAAACCAGCAGGAAGAACACGACCTCTGGTCCTCTGAAACACAACACAGTGGATCTCTGAGGCCAACAGGAAGTCAGCGTTACTCTGGTTCCCTTAAAGCCAATGATATCTGTGAAGTCATATCTCCTGACGTAGAACTAAGTGTTAAGATTTGTGTTTGTGTTAATGCTGACTCATGTCAGACTTATAGACGAGGGAACCGGAAGTGAATAAATGCTATTTATCCAAATGAGAGAGAGAGAGAGACAGAGAGAGAGAGAGAACCTTCCATGCTCCCTTTGTTTCCACCACCAGACTCCGGTGAGAGCGCCGCCCTGCAGGCTTCTTGCTGTAACAACAACACGTTTTAATAAAAGCTGTATTTACATGAACAAGGTGTGAGAACTGAACAGATCTCACCTCCTCTTCTTCTCTCCTCTTTATCGCTTCCAGGATGTGACGGAACTCTTCTTCTCTCCGTTTGAGCTCGGCGACGCCGGCTTCCTCCCGCTCACTGGTCGCCATGGCAACGACCGCCACAGCGAGGCTGAGGACGAAGAAGCAGCCGGGGAAGAAGACGAGCACGAAGAAGGTCAGGTGGGCTTTACCCACTGCTTGTAACGTCTGCAGACAGACAGGTGAGAGACAGACAGGTGAGAGACAGAGACAGGTGACAGACAGAGACAGGTGAGAGACAGACAGGTGACAGACAGAGACAGGTGAGAGACAGACAGGTGACAGACAGAGACAGGTGAGAGACAGACAGGTGAGAGACAGACAGGTGAGAGACAGACAGGTGACAGACAGACAGGTGACAGACAGACAGGTGAGAGACAGAGACAGGTGAGAGAGAGAGACAGGTGAGAGACAGAGACAGGTAAGAGACAGAGACAGGTGAGAGAGAGAGACAGGTGAGAGACAGAGACAGGTGAGAGACAGAGACAGGTGAGAGACAGACAGGTGACAGACAGACAGGTGACAGACAGACAGGTGAGAGACAGAGACAGGTGAGAGACAGAGACAGGTGAGAGACGGAGACAGGTGAGAGACAGAGACAGGTGAGAGAGAGACAGGTGAGAGAGAGACAGGTGAGAGACAGAGACAGGTGAGAGACAGAGACAGGTGAGAGAGAGACAGGTGAGAGAGAGACAGGTGAGAAACAGACTGATGAGAGACAGAGACAGGTGAGACAGAGACAGGTGAGAGAGAGACAGGTGCGAGAGAGACAGGTGAGAGAGAGACAGGTGAGAGAGAGAGACAGGTGAGAGACAGAGACAGGTGAGAGAGAGACAGGTGAGAGACAGACAGGTGAGAGACAGAGACAGGTGAGAGACAGACTGATGAGAGACAGAGACAGGTGAGACAGAGACAGGTGAGAGAGAGACAGGTGAGAGAGAGACAGGTGAGAGAGAGACAGGTGAGAGAGAGACAGGTGAGAGACAGAGACAGGTGAGAG